TGTAACTGTGAGTCTGTACAGTGCAGTTCCGGGACTGCACACTGCCCTCACTGTAACTGTTCTTTGATGGCACGCAATCCCCAGAGCCCTACCTCTTTGTCATGGTCCCTAAGTCTCTGCTTCTTTGTGTCCATCTGTGATCCACACTTGACTTCAGTCACTCTTGTGATTTTGTCTCATGTCTTTGTTTCTCCAGTGCTGACCAGCAAGACTCAACCCTATCTCAGTCCAGCTTCCTGTCTTCTCAAGTCTTCCCCCAAGTCTGAAGCCTGGGAATGAGAGGAAACCCCACTGGGCCACACCAGCCTGCTGTATAACCTGAAACTGTATCTTCACAACTCCCCTCTCTGGCCTGAGTTCACCAAACCCTCAGCGGACCTCACCTCCTCCTGGAACTGTCTCAACTGTCTCCTGTCCCGTCTTCAATCCAACCCAATCATGGTCTTGAGGTAGCAGTCTCTCCCCTTTTTGAATTCATGGTCTATACTCCACAATTCACTTCCTTCCCAAGTCATCCACTCCAGTCTGATTTCTGTCCCATCATGTTCCTGCCTCTCTATTCACAACGTCATCAGTGACCCCTTGTCACTGAGCTTAGTGGACATTGTTCAGCTCTTGGTCTCTGCTTCTGAAGCCTTCTGAACCCTACTTCCTGGGAACACTGCCTCTGTGTGTAGGTTTCTCCAACGTTACCTTTTCCCACAAAGGCCACAGCCTTAGGAGGAACACCCAGGCTTTGTTTGCCCTGGTCCCTCCTCAACCTCAGGATCCCCTCCACACACTTGCAACTCATCTTGGGGCGTTAGAGCCTCCTGCCAAGAATCTTTCCAGTCCATCCTTTCTTCTCTTGTTCCACTACTTGATCTTGCTCATTGCCCATTCCTCCTCAATGTTAAAACCCTCCTAGACCCTCAACCGATGCTCTATCAGCCCAGATTCCTCCAGGGAGCCCTCTGGATTCTGCTTTGGTGGGGGCTGAGCTCACCAGGTTTAGAGAACTGGTCTCCAAGTCAGCTTAGTCCTCAGCTAGCTTCCCCAGCCCTACCTTCCTGTGCAGACGGTGTGCCCCTCAGTTCAGGCTCCCCTAGTCCTGGGGCCTCCTGTGTCCATGACTGGAGTACCTGCCTCCTCTCAGTGTTCAGTAAAACAAACGGGAAGGGAGCACTGGTCGCAGAAGCCACGGAAGTCTGTCTTCTGGGCTTCACCTGTCTCTCAGATTTGGAGTTGCCGTCCGCCAGCTTCTCTCAGCTTTCTCCTCACTTTGGGCATTGGAGAAAGTGTAGGGGGCCGAGGAAGGTTCTAGGGTAGATTCATCTGCTAAGAGCAGCAGGGACCAGGATAGGGCAGGGGAGCCAAGGCAGCCAGTCTGTGGCGGGTCTCCTGTTCTCTAATCCCCTTCTTTTTCATCTTTGTTTTCTCAAGACCAGAGATCCCCAGTCCCTTGTCTGGTACCCTCACAGGATAAGCATCTTCCCCTTTCCTTCAGCAGTCCCTCCAGAGTCCTCGCCCACTCACCAGCAACCCCCAAATTTCTGCAGCTGCACTTGCCTGAGAGGGTGCGTGGACACTCCCCTGCTGTGACCAGGCTGACCCCCCCAACGAAGGGAGTTCCGGTGTTCGCGGGGTTGGTCAGGCTCAGGGCGCGGACTGGTGCCCCGCCTTGCAGAGCTGGATCAGCCGACGACGCAGGCAGGGGGTCTGGGAGGGTGGGCACGCCCGGCCGAGATCGGCTGTCAGTTCCTCTCTGCTGGGTTGCAGCGGCACAGGCTGTGGGCTGGAGGCAGCGACGCGGGCTCGCACAGCAGAGCCCTGGTGTGGCTCACAGCAGCCGGAGCCCCTTCCCAGCGTGGGCGGCCAACCTTGCCAGGCTCCCACCGGCTGCCTCCAGCCTACAAGCCCGGCGCGTCCTTCTCGCCTTCGCTCCTTTGGGTTCGTGGTTTGCGAGCACCCCAGCAACTAATTCCCCGCCGCCCACACTGTCTAGGTTGCAGTTTTTCTCACCCTGCGTGGAAACAGTGCAGCTCCTTTCAGGACGCCCCTGCCTGCAGTCTTTAACATTTGTGCAGCCCTGGAGGGCTTGGTGCTGGGGAGGGGGCAGGGAGAGTTTCCCCAGGGGTGGGGTTTCTTTTCAGAGTCCTGCACACTAGAAAGGGGTGTGGCTGCATGCCCCATAGGCACGAGATGAAGGTCCGGGAGGATGCGCTGGGCAGAGGCAGCTTGAGGGTGGACTTTGTGGCAGAGAGGCCTGGATAGACATGGAAGTGTGGCTGGAGGACAGCTCTGCCCACTGCCGCTTCATTTGTCTATGAATTCATTCACAAATCCACTCAATCTGCCCACATACAGGCATCCTTCCTTCTGAGCCTGGACCCATGAGGACCTGTCAGAGCCAAACTCCATTTGCAGATGAGTCAGGCCCAAGGTTCCCAGCTTCTTGCTCTGGCCCCTGGAGGCCTGAGCCACGATGGGAGTCTCATCTCCACTCCCTTACCTGGGGCAGTTTCCCTCCAGAGAGGCCCGGTTAAGGCTGCAACTTCAAGAGACTGCCTACATCAAGCATCACCCAGCTTTGCTTCACTGCTATGTTCTCAGCGCCTGGCCCAACACTGAACTGCCTCAGCCAAGGCCCAGGGCCCAGGTGTTGGGGCTTCTGGAAAAAAACAGTTTCCTTTGGGAGTAGACTCCTGGAAGAGCTGGGTCTCTGTCCACTCCCCAACACACGCTGACCCGGTACCGCCTAAGAACTACCTACCACGCTACTGCTACTGCTTGGCCCCACCCCTCCTCTTCTCCCAGCAGGGCCAGGAGAGAAGGTGTGTCTCACGGGGCCACTGGGGAGAGTGGGTACTATTGGAGGGGTTGCATTCACCTGCGCTGGACAATGGCGGTTTCGAAAAGCCCACAGCAGGGAAAAGAGGCGAACGGAAGGGCCAGGTCCCCAGAGCTCCCACTCACCTCAAGGCTCTGCCAGCGTCTCTAACGGATGTAGGTCTTACTTTTTCATGTGATTATTTTTTTTGCATTTATTCCACAGTGGTCACAGGTACTTCTCTGTGCCTGGCTCCTCAGGCATCAGGCTTACCGTATCCTATTTTAGGGAGATCCTGCCTGGGAGGAGCCGCCTTCTCCTCAGCTTAGGATTTATGTCTCCCATTCCCATTCCCCACCCTTGGGCATCTCTTTGGAGCACAGAGGTAAGACTTCATGAGGGTGGATGGGAGGAAGGGGTTTCTCACCCATGAAGGAGGCTTGAGTGGTGATGCTGCTGAGGAGAAGGAGGAGGAGAGAAATGGTAAGGAGCAGGCCAAAGGGCTGTGGAGAGAGAGCTCCCCTCTCTTTAGCTGGAGGAACCAGTCTCTACAGCTGACCGGCATCTGTGAAACTCACCCCTTGTGGATGTTAGCCCACTGCTGGCAGGGAGCTGAGCACTATGGCGATGCAAAGGAGAGGAGACCTGGTGGCAGAGCTTGGCTCCCCGACTTTTTCTGGGGCACCCAGTGAGTCCTTTATCCTGAGATGTTTCTCATCTGCCCAAGATGGGCTCTCATGTGGCCTGTTTTCCAACATCCACTGTGAGTCTTCTGTGTGGCAGACTCCTTGCTCTCATGCTCAACATGGAGACACAGACCAATGCCATTCAAGTGATCAGCTGTCCTCGGAACTATTGGGCAACGTCAGCGAAAGCTTCTGAGAGGAGTCATTTGCATGGGTCCTGCAAGAATAAGACTGTTCCTAGCTTGTCTTCTCCTCAAAACAGCAGGTGTCTGCTCCTCAAGCAGGACAAGGAGCAGGTGTCTGTGGAGATCAAGCAATATTGCTGTCGCTGGAGGTGCAGATGTGGAGGGTGGAGTAGTCCCCTGCCTGTGCATAGGCACCTGGGCCTCCCTGTCTCACACCTTACTGTGGATGTGCCATAATGTAGCTCTCCAGGAAAGCCTAGTGGGTAGGGTTTTTTTTTTTCCTTCACTTTAAGCCACTAACATTTGCTGAGGCTCTACTGCCTGGAGCTAGGGACTAGGGAAAAAAACATCATTCATCGTATTCATCAAGGTAGGCTTGAGAACTGTTTTTGTGAAGTCTAGGGATATAGCTGAGTGGTAGAGTGTTTGCCACTAGACCCTGGGTTCAGGACTCAGAATAGAAAACTAGAATTGCTAACTTTAGCTAGGCATGACTGAGCCTACACTATGAGAGCCTGTCTTCAAACAAACAAACAAACAAACAAACAAACAAACACAATCATTTTTTTGTGAAAAAGAATTCCAGTCTTCCTGGAGGTTCCAAGAGAGAAGGAGATACAGTCTTCTAGAATAGGACAAGGGGACATGTAACTATGGGATTCTGAGCTGGCCTTTTAGAGGCAGCAAGGAGTCCTCTCCTTGCAAAGAGAAGTGGGGAGAACAGGGGATACTGGGGGCCTGTCTGGAGCCAGGTGCTTCAAAGCCCCGAGTGGAGAAGTACAATAGCAATGGTGTCAGCATTGGGCTTCGCTGGAAAGCCACCTCGCCAGTGGTCACCTGTGCTCCTGACATAGACATGACAGTCTCAGCCAGGAGCCCCATCGGTGGTTCCTGTGGTCAGCGTCTATGGCCAGGATAAACCAACCATCTCTGGCTGCAGTCAGGACCCTGGACCAAATTCCAACAAGAGATCAACAAGGGAACAAAGTTGAGCTGTTGTCCAGAGCGATGAGCCCTGGGGAGGGACTGAAGCCAGTGGGGTCCTGAGGGTCTTGCAACGATGCCAGGAGTGAGGGGCTCTGCTATGAGGAGCCTCGCTGGAAGAGAAGGTAGGTCTAGTTTCCCCACGCATCAATTCTGGATCTTGTAGCTTGAAGGAGGGCCCTGAGATAGGAGTACCAGGAGAGGGGAGGGTGGGACAGGAGGCAGCGCCTTAGCTCTCCTCCGCTGCCCGGCCTCCAGGCTTCAGCTTCTCCAGGGTTCTGGTCACAGTGGACAGGCTGCTACGGGCTCCTGGAGGAGACAGGAGGATGGCGATGTCTGAGTACAGATCCCCCACTGAGTTGTCAGGTCCGGGAGCCCAAAGAGAGTGAGGGGTCAGAATGCTCCAGGACCTCGGGCAGAGCCGGGACGGATGGGGAGGTGGGAGTCCTAGGGACCGAGTGCCGTGGAAGAGGGCAGGACTCAGGAGCTGATGCTCATGGCTTCAGTGCTGGCGCCAACATGTAACCTCTTTGTGCCTCAGTTGACCCATAAAAAACCAAACAATAACCAAGTTTATTGTCGCACCTCCCTGCATGTGGTTGTGAGGATCCACTTGTTAATATATGTAAAGAGGTTGGGGCAGCATCTGGAATGGGTCCTTCTGCTGAGTAAGCACTGGGGCAGGACGCATCAACATGGGGCTGGGTTGCCTTCGGACATTCCTCTCTGGGGTTTCCCAGTGTGGAGAACAGGGTCAGGAAGGGAGAAGATGCCCAGTTTCAGGTATCATTGCCAAGAGCCAGACTCCAGCACCGGGAGCAGGTATGAGGGCATGAGGCCCAAGGGGTAGGAGAAGGGAAAGTAGGGGGCCCTGTGTCTCAGTGTCCATGCTGGGCGGGACAGGGAAACCCTGGAGAAAAATGAGGAGGACTTGCACACGTGACCCAACATCACTGCTTCCCTGGGCTGGAGACCCTTCCCTGCCTGTGACCCTCAAGGCTCCTCCCAGGACCCACAGGGCTGCCCAGCTGGAGACCCTTCCCTGCCTGTGACCCTCAAGGCTCCTCCTGGTACCCACAGGGCTGCCCAGCTGGAGACCCTTCCCTGCCTGTGACCTGCAAGGCTCCTCCTGGTACCCACAGGGCTGCCCAGCTGGAGACCCTTCCCTGCCTGTGACCCTCAAGGCTCCTCCCAGGACCCACAGGGCTGCCCAGCTGGAGACCCTTCCCTGCCTGTGACCTGCAAGGCTCCTCCCAGGAGCCACAGGGCTGCACAGTTGGAGAACAGAGATAAAGATGGACTTTACCAGAACTTCAGGTGCTTACCTTCCTTATTGCTGCTGTTGCTAGACCTTCCCTCCCCGTGGTCTGGTCCTGAGTTAGGATGGATTCGAAGGTTTCCTGCAGGATGAGAGTACCCCCAAATTCTCATTTACTGGGTCATTCCCAAATCAAGCCCAGTTTGAGAAAGGGAATTCTTCCTGATGTCTAACCTCCAACAGTGCCTGTCTCTGCTCTACTGTATTCCTCGAGGTCTTCCATATATTCTGGCTGATTTGGAGAGGGGCAGAAGAAATGAGTCCTTGAAGGAGGTGGTAGTGGTTTTCATTGATTGATTGATGGATTGAGACAGAGTTTCTCTGTGTAGCCCTGGCTGTTCTGGAATTTAATGAAGACCAGGCTGGCCTTGAACTCATGGATCTGCCTACCTCTGCCTCCAGAGAGCTGGGATTAAAGGCGTGTACCACCACCACCGCCCAGCCAGGGGTGATAGGTTTTTAAGGAGGGAACTGGGGATATGTGAAGCTACACAGGACTGAGGGTGTTGGGAGTCTGGATGTAGGTTGTGGAAGTAAATGGGAGCTATTAAGAGGTCATGGGACCCAAGGGGAGGTAGAGGGTCTTTATGGGGCTTGGAGATGAGAATATCATCTGGAGATCTTGGAGACTTTGGGGAGTAAAAAGACTCTTAAGGGAGACATATTCCTGAGGTTGAGCTATGTCTGCTCAGGCAGCTGGCTGGATTCTGTTACTCTGTAACCATGGTGACACACACACACACACACACACACACACACACACACAAAGAGAGAGAGAGAAAGAGAGAGA